GTCAATAAGGTCAAGGTCTTCTTTATTCAGATACACCAGCCTAGTGCAGGCCAAAGTGAGGAGGAGGGAGCCGGGACCAGGGCCAAAAAAAAGGGGTGGTCCACGTGTCCATGGTCCTTTAAGAAGCCTTCCTGATGTCACCTTAGACTTTCCCTCACCCCGCCCTCACAGGCGTGTTCCAGCACACCTGTCCAGCACACCTGTCCCGGTTGCCTGGAGGCGGGTCTACTGTGTCTCCCTACAGGAGAGAGAGAACAGAGAGGGAGAGAAAAGAGAAGGAGAGGATGGGAGGTGGGCAGGGCCCTTTTAAAAGGGAACATAGTGAATGTGCACAGGTGCTGCTCTCAGTGCCTGCAGCTGAGGGCGTTTCCTGTCAGAACCCCAAGGGCAGGCCAGTATAGACACCTGAATGCTAACAGGACTCAGTTCTCTTCTTCCACAAAGTGGGTCCAGGGGCAGGAAAGGTGTCATCAGGCTTGGAATAAAGTGTCTGTGGTGGTTCGAAAGAAAATGCCCCCCTAAGAGAGTGGCACTATTAAGAGGTGTGACTTCCTTAGAGTAGGTGTGGCCTTGTTGGAGAACATATGTCACTGTGGGGAGGACTTTGAGGTCTCCTTTGCTCAAGCTTCACTCAGTGTGGTAAACAGTTCACTTCCTGTTGCCTGAAGATCAAGATCTACAACTCTCAGCTCCATTTCCAGCACTGTCTCTGCCTGCATGCCACCATGTTCCACCATGGTGATAATGGACTAAACCTCTGAAACTATAAGCTACCCCATTTAAATGTTTTCCTTTATAAGAGTTGCCATGACCATGGTATCTCTTCACAGCAATAGAAACCCTAATTAAGACAGTGTATTTATCCTCTGAGCCATCTCTCTAGCTCTGTGTTGTTGTTGTTGTTGTTGTTGTTGTTGTTGTTGTTGTTGTTTTAAGTGACCCTGGAAAGATAAAAGATGTACATTCTCTTTGTTACATTAGCCCTGAGGTTGCCTACATTTAAAATGGAAAACTAGCTGACACACTCTCCAACATGCAAGAGGCAGTGGCAGATGGATCTCTATAAGTTCAAGACCAGCCTGGTCTATTTAGTGAATTCCAAGCATGCCAAGGCTACATAGTGGGAAAAAATACAAATGATATGGACAACATAGATGTGAATTTCCTGCTAGTTTCCAACAGACACAGTATTTGGCTCTCTTTGTCACTTTACTCCTATAAACCTGAACCTGTTGGTGAAATGTGTAAATATAAACCATTGTCATGACATTCCAAACTTATAAGCTTTTGTCAGTGTCATCAGCACAAACCATGATATTTGATAACTGAGAACCATGGCCACCCTCCAGTGTACCAGACACCTTGCTATGCTGTGTATCACACAACAATTATCTGAAGCAGTGACAAGAAACTAAGTGTCCAGGGCAAAGGTCAAAGAGT